GATCTTATCAGCTGCTTTAATCCAGTCTTAGCTATACTTATTGCCCAGTTACTTACACATCTTGACTCTAAGTAGCCCTTCCTGGCAACTAATTCCCCCCCACCTATATCATGTGAGGCTTGAGGAAGTCTGTTCCAATGTATCTGAAGTAGTGTGCATGCACATGAAACCTTAAAGGTGCTACTGTACTCAAACTTTGTTCGAAGTGGCAAGTGATTCAGTTTAATACTGGAAGTACCGAGTGTCTGTAATGGGGCTGCATCCCCCTCTTTAGTGGTTCCTTAAATGCCCTGCTAAAAACAGGTTAGCTAGAGGGTTGGGCTTGCATCTCCAGGATGTTGGTTCTAACACCACCTTGGCTTTGTGCTTAGGGTTGCCAACCTCCAGGTGGTAGCTGCAGATCTCCCACGATTATGACTGATCTCCAGGTGACAGAAATCAGTTCACCTGGAGAACATGGCTGCTTTGGAAGGTGGACTCTGTAGCATTATACCCTACTGAAACCCCTCCCCTCCCCAACCCGGCACTCCTCAGGCTCCACCCTCCAAATTGTGCTTGATTGCAGGGTGGCTCGTAGGGCATGGTATCTTCTCTCCCAGTTCCCCATTGTTAAAATGAGAAGAACTCCCCTCACAAGTATTAATTTGAGAGGGGGAAAAATGCTTGGCCCATCAGATGTGCTTATGTGAAAGCAACTGCCTCTGCACTTGCTCTTGATCACTTAGGGTGATCAAGGGTGATCACAATTCAGAACACCCCCCCCTTTCTTCTGTGTAACCGTCAGGGGTCTTTCCTACAGGAGTGCACAGGAGCGGAGCTCCAGCAGTAAAAGGCCCAGGGGACGGGCACATACAACAAGCCCCACCCCCTGCTCCCAGCAGCCCTCAGTCAGAGCAAGAAGTTGCAGAGCCCGCCAGCCACCACGGTCCAAAACAGTCCAGTGGCACCTTTAAGACCAAGTTTTATTCAGGTACAAGCTCTCCCTCCTCTGCGAGGGACAGATCTGCATGTCCCCCCCCCCCCAATAGCTGGCAATCCAGAATAGTCCAGTGGAGCCTGAGCGGTGGGTGTTGCCTTCTGGCACACTTCCGGTGATGCCAGGGGGTGTGGCATATGCAAATAAGTTATGCTAATGGGTTATGATAATGAGCTCCTGCACCTCTTTTTCTACGAAATGACCCCTGATAACTGTTCTTGGGTTGCCAACTCCGAGCTGGAAAATTCCTGGGGATTTGGGGGCGGAGCCCAGAAAGTGCAGCATTTAGGGAGGGGTGGGAGCACAGCAAGGATGTGATCCTATATACAGTCCATCCTCTGAAGCAGATATTTTCTCCAGGGGAAGTAATAGACCTCTGTCACCTGGAGATCGGTTGTCAGTCTGGGAGAATTCCAGGCCCCACCTGGAGGTTGGCTACCCTAGGAACACCAGCCCTGTCTGCATCTAGACCCAAAGACATAATGCTTCACGGCTCCTGCCTGGGCCACAATGTTTAACTTTCTAAACCTCCCTTCTCACTTCCTGTCCCCTCAAACACGAAAGTTCCTGGCTCAGCCCTCCTTTCTTCTTTCTCAGCCCCATTGTTTCCTCAGATCCCTTTCAGTCCTTGGCTTCATCATACACACCTTGACTCCCTTTAACCACCCTGAACCACCACCACTGCTGGCGACTCTGCCTCCCCCCAGCCATCGTATAGCCCCTTTTGTTCTTAGACCATGTTCGATTTCTTCAGCATTCCCCTTCTAATTAATCTTTTTTTCCCTGCCTCATTTCTCTCTTCTGCCCTTTTCCTTAAGCCTCCTTTTCCCTCAGGCTTCTGTTTCTCAAGTCATTAAATCCTTCCTTCAGCCGCTTTGTTTCTGAGCTCTGTGATGGTTAGCTTTTCTACTCCCTAGGACCTCTCCCCAGTCTTCATTTTACCCCATAAAGCTACTCTTGTCCCTGAGGCCACTATGACACTTAAACCCCAACCAAACGGACAGCTTCACCTCACAGATTCTCCCACCCCCATCTACTTACTATCTTTCTCCCTCATGGGGACCCAAAGCGACTTACATAGTTGTTCTCTCTTTCATCAGAAGGGAAGGTACACATAATCCCATGGCCTACTTTTTAATCCCGGTTTCAATTTTTAATCCGCATCAGACCAAAATGTTCTATATTTAAGGTTCTATCAGTGATAACACACAGGTAATGGGCTCCAAAGCCCGTTACTTGGCAAATTATCTTTGCACAACTATAAATAATTACCCTCACGCAGTAAGAGGCTTAGCTAACTAGCAAATCCTCAAAGTTAGAAATAAAAATGCGAGTCTTGTGCTTCTTCACAACTTTGCCTCAGAGAAAGTTAAAGTTGGCAGTCACAAATAAATGCATTTTGCTTTCTAAACAATAAAGCTGCAAATGTCACCTTCACAGCTTCATCCCCTGAGTAGCCGGAATGCTTGTAAATGTTCTATACCACCACACCGGCCACAAGCCCAGTACCATACAGTTGTTCTATTAAAAATCATTCAGGAAAAAATATTCCATACAGCACCCCCTAGTGGCGTTTTGGGGATTCCCAATCTGGGATCCCCCTTGTCGTTCCTCCCATGGCTCAAAGCCTGTTAGGTTTTCCCCAACCTTTCCTTGAAGCAATGAAACATCAGCGTTTTCCTCCCCAGACGCAGCACACATTCATTCCACTCACTTTATCACCAGATGACACTGATAGATAACACGGGGAAATTTTTGTGCTGTCAAACAGAGACTGAAAGAGAGAGAGAGATCCCCAGGGGAAGCCCATTTCTGAGATGAGGAAAAGGTGAAGGGGAGATGTGGTGAGCAAGAGGATTTTCAGTGATGCAACAGGGAGAGGGTCTAGTCATCCCTGCCCCATCAGTTTAATATATGACGAGTTTTGAGCCTGCTGTGCATGCAGATGACCCCTGGCCATGGCCATCCCCACATTAAAAGAATCTCACAGGAACGACATTTCTCAGCTTAGGATGCTGGGAGGCTGCTACCTGTGAGAATGGCTAACAGAGCTACGTGACTCAGTTGGAGTAGGTTTCATACATACGTTACCTCAGGAATACCTCTCTGACCAGATCACTGGGTATCTACATGTTGAGTAACACTTCTTATAAAAAAAACCCAGTTCTACTTATGGACCTATGTGCTGTCAAATCACAACTAACTTATGGCAACCCCAGCAAGGGGCTTTCAGGGCACGTGAGACGCCAAAGTGGTTTGCCATGGCCTTCCTCTGCAGAGTCTTCCTCAGCGGTGTCATTTCCAAGTACTGACCCTGCCTAGCTTCTGAGATCTGAGGAGATCGGGCTATACCATGTCACCTTCATAAAAAAATTCCAGTTTGGCATTAAAAAGGTAACTGTCCCTTCGCTTTATTTTTTTTAAAAAAATCATTATTTGAACTGTCTTGATAACCTGTGTTATGAGGAGTAAGCAAAATATAATCATCTCTTTTGAGGGAACGGGGTTGATTCAATCTCGAATATAACCCAAAGTGGGCCTTTGAATTTTACTTTGAATCTCCCTCTCCTTAACGGAAAGCTTTTTCATCCACTCTTATCAAAATTTGGGGTGATGCCTTGGCTTTCTTCTGTTCAGTGTGATCCATGGCCCAATAGCATTTCTCTACAAACTCTCTTCTTTCACTTAGTCTGCTTCAGACAGAACTTTTTATGTAGGCTTGCCAATTGCCGGGGTGGGGGGGGGGAGAGGAAGTCCTGACTCTTTAATAGATGCTTGCTGGGATGTTATTTATCTCCATTCCATTAAAAGCTGCGGCTACCTGTTTCTGCACATTAAGCCTCCATTAAAGGGATAGCACGTTTTTCTCCAGGCCTGTTGGCAACCCTATTTATACGTCTTGTTAAACTGTCAATGGACTTCTTCCCTTTTCTTCTTTCAGGATCCTCCTTCTGCCCACAACAGTTTAGCTCGGGGATGCCTTGTGGCCTAATCCCAAATCCCTGTTTCAGTTCCTGTGGCAAAATGAACTAACAATAAGAATCCTTTTTCTTCTTGAGCAAGTGCCGGTTATTTCCCTTTACTACAGAGTCACCATAGCTGTCCTCCAACCTGCACACCAGAGATTAGGCAAGAGGGCTTCCAAGCAGGGTTGCCCACAGGCTTAAGGAGAACAAAAATTCCCTGCTCCTTTCACAGAAGCTTAATGTGTGGAAAGCTTTTCAAAGCGGGGAGGAGGTGAATAACATCCAATCACACCTCTGTTAAAGGTACAGGACATTTTTCTCCAGTCCACTGAGCAACTCCGTTTCCGGGGTAGATTTGAACTGGAAATTCCTCAGTTTGGAAATTAAACATGAATCAACGTCATCCCACGACTTCATTTCTCTCTCCATATGAACAGATGCCAGCCTTCAGATGGGACCCGGAGATCCCCCAGAATTACAGCTCATCTCCAGAGAACAGAGATCAGCTCCCTTTGAGCAAAAGGGATGCTTTGGAGGGTGGACTCTGCGGCATTGTACCCCACTGAGGTCCCCGTCCTTCCCAGGCTCAATCCCCAAACCTCCAGGAGTTTCCCAACCTGGATCTGGCAACCCGACCTCCCCCATCCCCTGCCAGTGGCCAGAGGGGACCTGGCAGCAACCCTAATACTACATTTCACAGCACACACATCCTAGGAAGCTGTGTGGATATCTGCTGGATCAGACCAAAGGTCCAGCTGATCCAGTATCCTGTTTCCCACAGCTAAATATCTCCGAGGAGCCATAAGCAGGGTACAAAAGCAGCAGCATCTCACCGACTTATATTTGGAGGTACACTGCCTCTGAAGGTGGAAGTTCCACTTAGCCATCATGACACAGCTGTTGATAGATCTGCCTTCCATGATCCCCCCCCCCAGTCCTCTTTTAAAGCCACCAGCACTAATGGGTCATCTTGGGGAAGCAGCATATTTCAGAAGTTTAATACACATGGCTTCAGTAACTGTGAGTACAACCTTGACTTGGGGTTGTGATGTCCTAAGGTCCCTTGTCTCAACACAGGAGACCAGTTTCATTGCATGCACCGTGGCACATGGCTGAGACAAAAATGACTTTGGGCATTCTTCAGTCATTTCCACACGAGATGTTTAACCTGCCCTTGAGCACCTTTTCTGTGCTATTCAGATTAATGTGTAATTTAGTCAGTACATTTTTATCACCACCCTTCCTCCATCGAACTCAGGAATGCAATGTCCAAAACTCAGGGCAGTGTACATGGTCCTCCCCTCTCCCGTTTCACCCTTTCAACAACCCCATGAGAGCCAGTGTAGTGTAGTGAATGCACAGGAACATGTGAACCTGCCTTATACTGAATCAGTCCCTTGGCTCATAAAAGTCAGTGTTGCCTACTCAGAATTGCAGTGATCTCAGGCACAGGCCGTTCCCATCACCTACTTCCAGATCTTTTAATTGGAGATACCAGGGATTGAACCTGGGACCTTCTGCTGGCCAAGCAGATGCTCTACCACTGAGCCACACCTCCAAAACTCAGGGCAGTGTACATGGTCCTCCCCTCTCCTGTTTTACACTTTCAACAACTCCATGAGAGCCAGTGTAGTGTAGTGAATGCACATGAACATGTGAAACTTATACTAAATCAGTCCCTTGGCTCATCAGAGTCAGTATTGTCTACTCAGAATTGCAGTGGGGCTCTCCAGGGTCTCAGGTAGAGGCCGTTCCCATCACCTACTTCCAGATCTTTTAATCGGAGATACCAGGGATTGAACCTGGGACCTTCTGCTGGCCAAGCAGATGCTCTACCACTGAGCCACAGCACTTCAACCTCCAGGTGGGACCTGGGGATCCCCAGAATTACAGCTCATTTCCAGAGAACAAAGATAAAGTGGATAGACTACTGGATTAGGATCTGGGAGACCCGTATTCGAATGACTAATATGCATGCTCGCTGGGTAACCTTGGGCCAGTCACACCCTCACCGACCTCATGGGGTTGCCACGAGGATAAAATGGAGAAAGGGAGAATGGCACAAGACGCAGTGGGGTAAAAAGTGGGGTATAAATGAAGTAAGTAAATACGTACAGAGGGTAGACTGAGAGAGAATGGCTGGCCCCAGGTCACCCAGCAGGGTTCCTTGGAAGACTGGGGATTTGAACCTGGGTCTCCCAGACCTTAGTGCTTGACCCTCTATCCCCTATGCCAGTGGTGGCGAACCTATGGCACGGGTGCCAGAGGTGGCACTCAGAGCCCTCTCTGTGGGCACGCGTGCCATCGCCCCAGCCAGGCCCAGACCATCATTAAAGTGTCAAATTCTCTGCCAAATAATTTTAAGTAAATGAAAGCATTTGGGATTGCTTTCCTTACTTTGTTTGGATCATCTTAAGTTAATGTATGAGTTGTTTTTTCTAAAGTAAAACCTCAGTATTCAGGTTAAATGGCCGTGTTGGCACTTTGCAAATAAGTGGGTTTTGGGTCACAGCTTGGGCACTCGGTCTCTAAAAGGCTCGCCATCACTGCCCTATGCAATGCTGGCTGTCAAGTATGTTGTCTGTGCAGAAAAGAAGCACGGGAGAGCTCTTTATAATGGGAATCAGCATTCTGGCTGACAGAGCACATTTCGGCAAGTGACTGTGGGGCAAGGACGATCTCCAGCCTCGTGGGTGAAAATGCCTTCAACCACTGGCCGTGTCACTCATTCCAATCCACCTACCCATGCGTGGTTTCTAAAAGAGAGAGAGAGATGGATGCCAGGGCTCAATTCTGCTGTCCCAAAGTCAGCCTCTAACTTAGGGCAAGCGCAGTACCCATGAATTCAATTGGCTCTCTGGCTCACTGATAAAAAAGTTTCCAACTAGTCCAAGGGGGGGAAAGTCCTGTCCCTTTAACAGGTGTTGAATGAGTGGAAACGGGCATCCAATCCTTTTCATTACACAAAGTTAAATAACATCGCCGGCTTACAGATCAAACTGATGTTATAGAGACAGTGGGGTGATTAGTTTAAAAAATGGGCAGCCCGACTCACTGGATCGAGCAAGAGACAAAAGAACTCTGCACGTGCTCAGATGCACTCTGTAACAACTTCACACGGGCAGGTTTGGGCCCCACCGCTTAAAATGGGGTCTGGGAGCTGAGTCCTCCTCAGCCCTGCCTTTTGTCTTCCAAACACCCCCCTCCTCCCTCAGCCTTCCCCACAACGCAGGCCTTCCCCTTCCATCCGCCTCCCTGTCGCATACATACCTCATTGTTGCTCGGCTCCTTTAACCGCCCGGCCCGCGGAACTCTTTCTAAAGCTTTATGAGACTCTCCATGTGAAAGTGGGACTCAAGTTTTCCTGTCCCCTGATGTGCTCCGTCAGGTTGAGGGTGTGCCAGACAGGCTATTGGTTGGCTGCGGAGGTGGCGGGGTGGGGGAATCCCAGCCGAGGCTGAAGAGGAAGCCGGTGAAGGTAAGCGCCCAGATCAGAACTGAAAGGAAAACTTTGGTTAAAATATAACCTTTGCCCAAATTAGTCGAGTGCACGAGTGGACATCTAGGGGTGAGTCAGTCTGAAAGAACAATCGATGGCTATTGCAGATAACAGGCGGGGCGGTCGAGCTCCAGGCGGGGCCAAGAGTCCTCCTGATTTTACAAAGCGCTCCAGGAGGCAGAGATCCGTTCCCCTGGAGAAAATGAGAGCTTCAGAGGGCTGACAGCAGTGTTCCCTCTAAGCTGAGTTAGTGTGAGCTAGCTCACAGATTTTTAGCCTCTGGCTCACACATTTTTGTCTTTGCTCAGGAAGGATGGCTCCAGAGCAAACTAATTTATGCAGTAGCCAAATCGCTGGCTCACAACTTTAATGCCAGTAGCTCACAAAGCAGAATTTTTGCTCACAAGACTCCACAGCTTAGAGGGAACATTGGCCGACAGTATGGCACACACCACAGGCTCCAGTCAAAACCCCTCCCCAAATATTCTGCCTCCACAGGCACTGCACACACGCCTGCCAGGTCCCCCTAGTGGTTAAGTGTGCGGATTCTAATCTGGGAGAACCGGGTTTGATTCCCCACTCCTCCACTTGCACCTGGCTGGGTGACCTTGGTTCAGTCACAAGCTCTGGCACAGCTGTCTTTGAAAAAGAGCAGTTTGTGTCAGAGTTCTCTCAGCCCCACCCACCTCACAGGGTGTCTGTTGTGGGGAGGGGAAGGGAAAGGAGTTTGTAAGCCGCTCTGAGACTCCAAGTGAAGGGCGGGGTATAAATCCAATCTCCCAAGCCCAGAGAAGATCCAGGAGGTGCTCTGCAGCCATGGCCAGGCACAGAACACCTTCTGGAGCTCTCTGCCACCATGTCTGGGCCTGTAGCGACCCTCGGTGTCTGCCCTGGCTGACCTTAGAGTGGTTCCTGGTGGTGGCTCAGAGTGCCACCAGCTCTTCTGGTAAATGCATTGTCTGCATATGAGCAAACCACTTTTTAAAAAAAATTGTAGGGAATTTAAATCCCCAATGTATTTTTTAATATTTGGAGTCCTCCAAGTTTGCAGAAAAATCTGTTTAGCGTTGGTGTGGCCCTGATCTGTGGATTTAGGTATCTGCATATGGGGGTCACATATTGCTGTTAGATATATAGATTACACTGGCACATAAAAATACAGTATTTGCATGCCAGTGGAGTTTCTGTTTGGGTCATAGAAAGGTGGTATGCCAATATTTTATGCATAGAGAATGGTGGATGAGGTCAAAAATTTAGACGGTACATATGGCTGCATGGAGTATTACATCCAAATCAGCATGTGGCGTGGCTCAAAAGATTATCTGAATATATAAATAAATATCACCAGCATCTTTATAAATTATCTGTGTTTTTTCCTATTCTAATGCTGTACACCTGCCCAGCCATTGGGCATAAATTATAGATTTATGATTCCATTATTTCATCTCCCTATTCCCTGCTATGCCAGCAGACCAGCAAGCAAGCAGCAAGCTGAAAGAGAAAAATCATTATGCTGATTTGGTATGCACAGGACTTAATGTGACCTGGAAACCAAACTTGATTTTAGCTAGTTGTGTCAGGCTGAGTGTGCTGTCTATAATGAGCCTGTATCTATATATCTAATAGCCAAGTTGCCCCTTCTATGTGGATATCTAAATCTGCACATCGGGGACACTCGGGGGGCAGAGAGATTTTCCTGCTCACTTGGAGCAGTCCCCAGGTGTAAAGAAAAATCTAAAAAGTTGAAAGAATATACTGGGGATATTTAAATCCCCCCCAAAGTAAAAGCATTCCCTGCGCATGCACAAAGAACGCTCTGGCGGTTGTGGGGGGAGGCTCGGCGGGCCCGGTGGCTGGGAGCCGCTCGGGCCTTGCTGCTGGTGCCCGGGAGAAGCAGGGAAAGGCTCAGCAGGCTCGCGTGGCTTGCCGCCAGTGAGGGGGGGGGCGGGGGAGAAGGAATTGGGGGGCCTTGCTGTTGGTGCGGGTGGGCGGATGGGGAAGAAGGCTCACCTGTGGCTGCTTCCTCCTCCTCCTCCACGTGGAGCTCCTTCTCCCCCCCATGAGTATCACAGGTCCCCTCTTCTTGTACTTCATATTCTGAAACTGGACTCCTATGTGCAGTCGCAGGTGTCCCCAGGGTCTCGCAGAGGCTGAGAGAGAGGCATGGGCCACTTCCATTTTTTTTGAGACTCCCAGGTTGTGGCCACACGTGCCAGAAAAATGTGGTGGGGGGGAGCGAGGCTATTTCCTCCAAAGGAATTTGACCCACAATTGCACAGTCACACCTCCCTTTGAAGCTGCGTGTGCAGTCTATCAGTGTGTGATCAGACGCAGCTGCGGGGGAGAGACGCAGCTGCGGGTGAGTTGTTTTTGTGTGTGCTGCTTTCCCCTCATGCGCTTAAATGGGGGATCGATGAATCGCGCCTCCGCACCAAACTCCCTATGGAGTTTGCAATGATGCACATACTGCGAAGGGGGGGGGGAATAGACAACGGCACGAAGTCCGGATGGCCTGATCAGACCATCCCGATGCCATGAGAGCTCGCTGGAGCGATCAGACTCGAGAAAGTCTGTCTGTGGCCCATTGCAACCCATTTACTTCTGGGTTTTCCCTGGTGTCTTTTAACTCTGCTTCTGTGGTGGAGCAGAACGGGTTGCTGATGTCTGCGGGGCGCTTCCCAGATGCTGTTGTCTGATCGCGCCCTTTAAATCTGCCCGGCATTCGCACCTATGTTGGGTCTAATTGATCGCAGCCCCAGTTTATTTTAAAAATGCCCCCCAATGAGGAGAATATTCATTCACAGCACGCACTACAGGCGGTGTGGCCCGCTAACGGGACACAAGCTTAAAGTTGCATGACGAACATTGTCTTCTTTCAATCCTGTCAATACTATCTCTGCATCCCTATGTATAATTTTATTTAGAGAGAAAGTAAAAAAAAAAAAAGGTCTGAACAGCTAGATTTGAGTCCAGTAGGACCACTCCACAGCTTAGAGGGAACATTGGCCGACAGTATGGCACACACCACAGGCTCCAGTCAAAACCCCTCCCCAAATATTCTGCCTCCACAGGCACTGCACACAGGCCTGCCAGGTCCCCCTAGTGGTTAAGTGTGCGGATTCTAATCTGGGAGAACCGGGTTTGATTCCCCACTCCTCCACTTGCACCTGGCTGGGTGACCTTGGGTCAGTCACAAGCTCTGGCACAGCTGTCTTTGAAAAAGAGCAGTTTGTGTCAGAGTTCTCTCAGCCCCACCCACCTCACAGGGTGTCTGTTGTGGGGAGGGGAAGGGAAAGGAGTTTGTAAGCCGCTCTGAGACTCCAAGTGAAGGGCGGGGTATAAATCCAATCTCTTCTCCTCTTCTTCTTCTTCTTGGCCTTGGTGGGGGATAGTGGGGAAGGGTTGCCAGGTCTGGGTTGGAAAATACCTGGAGACATTGGGGGTGGATCCAGGAGAGGGTGGGATTTGGGGTGGGGAGGGACCTCAGCATGGTACGATGCTATTGAGTCCACCATCCAATGCCGCTATTTTCTCCAGGGGAGCTGATCTCTGTCAGCTGGAGATCAGTTGTAAAGGTGGGAGATCTCCAGGCCCCACCAGGAGGCTGGCAACCCTGGATAGTGGGGTAGGGTTCTCCAGATCCAGGTTGGGAAAACTCCTGGAGGTTTGAGGCTGGAAGCCAAGGACCTCAGTGGGATACAATGCCACAGAGACTACCCTCCAAAGCATTTGTTTTCTCTGTGGGAACTGATCTCTGTAGGCTGGAGATGAGCTGTAATTCCGGGGGACCCCCCGGGTCCCACCTGGAAGCTTCACACAAATCACCAGGAATTTCCCAGGCAAGAGTAGGCTTGTCAGGTTTCAGCCTGGACCCTGTAGCTGTGCTTTTAACACAACCAATGGGTGTCAAATGTTGATTTCCATGCTGTGGAAAGCACCGCCTTCTAACTTGTGACTATCAAGCTGCTCTTGAAACCACAACAGCCGGTCAAGCTAGATTCTTCCTCATCCCTTTGGCAGCGTGACTTGTGTTTCCTCCACCCCCACCTTCTGAGGGGGCTACCTGGATAAAAATATGAATTCATCACCTGGAAGGTTGTTTTGCGTGTGTTTTCAAGCTTGTGGTTGGGAAAAGCAGATCGAGGAAGTCAGGGGGGGTAAATTTCACAAGCTTTCTCATCCTCCTCTGCTGTACTGTGGTGTCATATAAACCAGCGGAACTCCCCACCCTGGACAACTGCAAACTTCCAGTCACTACTAAAAGCTTCTATGTTTCCCGATGAACTGTGGAGATGCTCTCAGTTACATTGTGGTGGTGGGGGAGGGCATTTCAACTCTGTAGTCACAGCTCACTGAAGCATCAGAGCTACTCGTCCCACTTTCTAGGACACTGGATTTCAGATTATCTATATATCTAATAGCCAAGTTACCCCCTCCGTGCAGATATCTAAATCCGCACATCGGGGGCACTCGGGGGGCAGAGAGATTTTCCTGCTCACTTGGAGCAGTCCCCAGGTGTAAAGAAAAATCTAAAAAGTTGAAAGAATATACTGGGGATATTTAAATCCCCCCCAAAGTAAAAGCATTCCCTGCGCATGCACAAAGAACGCTCTGGCGGTTGTGGGGGGAGGCTCGGCGGGCCCGGTGGCTGGGAGCCGCTCGGGCCTTGCTGCTGGTGCCCGGGAGAAGCAGGGAAAGGCTCAGCGGGCTCGCGTGGCTTGCCGCCAGTGAGGGGGGGGGCGGGGCAGAAGGATTGGTGGGCCCAGGCCTTGCTGTTGGTGCGGGTGGGCGGATGGGGAAGAAGGCTCACCTGTGGCTGCTTCCTCCTCCTCCTCCACGT